TTAAAATTGAAAAACTTGTTTCCCAAATCTAAAAAAAGAAAAATAGTAAAAAAAATTAAAAATAAAAATAAAATAAGAGCTTGTGAAGGCACTCTGAGGCTATCCTCCCAGTCAGAGAGCCTCCGAAAATGAGAATTTGATCTCTCTTTTATTACCTATTTGTAAGTATTCTAAACTAAACTGAGTAGCCACCAAAACATTCATCTCACTTCCTATTTCAGAATTCCTGTCTCTTCCGCTCTCTACATTATAAAGCTATTCTTAACCAAAGGTTGCCACGCACCCAGCCTATGAAAACACCCTATGTTATCGTATCTTTTCTAATTCTTTCAAGCATTCAGATGAATTATATTTATTGTACTTCTCTTCAATTAGTTAGAATATGGTTGAATTTTTCAAACTCTAAAACCCAACAACTTTCATGGGTTTTTTAAGTCCTTTTGCAGAAGCAGAAGTTGTGCTTTACTAACCACCTCCATTTATGGTTAAGTGGTTAAGGTAAGAGGCGAAATAAAGATGTTGCTTTAAGCTATGACTGAACACAAAAGTGAAGGTATAGGAAGTGCATGTTTACAAAGAGGCAAAGAATGAGATCTGACAACAGGATGAGATCTGCGGGCCATCCCCAAAGATGCAGACATATAAAACTAATCAAGCACCTGATCTAAAATGCTTTCTATCTATGAAGCAAGCACATACAGGTCTCAAAAATACCAATTAGCCAATGAACTAAGAAACAGAATATTCTGAGCTTCTTTCACATTTTTTAAACCTGTAAGTTTCAAGAACTTGAAGAATTTTATGGGCAATCTCTGTCATTCACTTTTATAAACTAAACAATTCTCTTTTTATTAGGTTTGCTAAATCTGTAAATGTAAAACAGGAATTTAGTGGCATTCGTGAACAAATCAGAAAAAGAGGGAGGGCCCTCTTCTTAAAGATGAGAAGATAAACCCTTAAAGTTTTATGTTTAAGGCACTATAACTACTTATTCAACTCCTATTTTAATTCTTGTCCTAAAAATATTACTAATAACTTCTGTCACCACTCCCTCATAATGCAAATTTGTTATGGCTATAGGGGAGCTTGGAACTTGTTTATTAGTCTAGGACCAAAATCAATCTCGTTACACGTAAATGTGAGTTTTGAGTATGCTAATATAAGAAATGATTGGCAAGTAATAAGGCCAGGTAAAGTAAGAGCAGCCACCTTCATGACATCAGTGAATGTGGATAACCGGGGAGAGGTTTAGGACTAGAAGATTAGATTTGGAAATCAAAAGCAGAAAACAGACAATTTTGGCAAGAATGAGGTCAGGGAAGAAGAAAGACATTCATTTATTTAGGAAAATCTAGAAAGTAAGCAACAGCTCAGAAAGTTTCAAAGAATGTGAATCTTTGTGCCCAATATATAGAAATGGGAGACCAAGGAACTGTTACCACTCTTGCATTAAGAGTACCCACTAATAACTAAATTGAGGGTAAGGGCTTAGATTGTGAGTAGAAACATTAGTGGAAATTAAAGTGAAAAAGGACAGTTTTTTAAAATAAGGTATTAAGCTGAGTCAAACAGCATTAGGCAACAAGATTCTAAATGATCTAATAACCTATCTAGAGATGATTTCCTTCCCCAAATCAACTCACTTTATACAGTAAATAATGTTTGCACCCTAACATGTTAACTAATACTGCCTTAAACTACAGGCACACCCTATGAGAAGTAAAAGAGCAAATGAATATAACCACCCTCCCCTCCCCTCCCCTTATTTTACCTCACCTCATCCTATTCTCTTGCTGGTAGTGGATTGAAAGATGGATATAAAAGTTATCCCTTAGCGAAAGCTGGGAAACTTTCTGTTTGTACCACCTTATATTTGTTTTAACACACTTACCAACATCTCCATAAACATACAGGCCCTTTGGAGGTTTGCTCCTTGAAAAAAGCTGCAAATTAAGAACAAATTATGAATCTCTAACACGGAAATAATTACATCATCATATACATAGTGTTCCTAACTGTTCTATAATATATACAGGACTAAAAGGGGCTACTGTACACAGTAAATACAAAAAACGTGAAGTAAAAGGCTGGGAAGCCCAACTTAGGTTTCAACACAGGAGGCAAGAGCTCCTAAGCCACACAACTTAAGTCTCCATCCCCTTGGCTACACCATCTGCTAACCATGTAATCTTCCTCTTTTCCCAAACTGGTTCCCCAAACAATGGCAGCCTAGCTCATTCTAATTAAGCAATAGAGTAGAAGAATTTTTCTGGAGAAACTGAATGGTCTACAGGAAAAAAAAAAAAAATGCCCAAAGGCACTTACTTATGTATGGGTTTCTTCCACAGAAAGAGCTGATTCCCTACCAGCTCACCTTATAGAAAAGCACACCAGTCAACGAACCTGAGATGGGCCTTTGAATCAGCTTATTAATATTTGAAAAGATACTAAAACAAATTGACAGCCAAGAATCAACAGATTTGGGGGGAAAAATCTTCCAAGAGGAAAGTTGGAAACCAGAGTAAATATACAGGGGGAAAAAAACAGGAAACAGAGACAAAACAGAGAGAGCAAAAGGAATCTTCAGAAATAAAACTGTAAACAATATAATTAATATGCTAGGAAAAATAAGAGAAGCTATTAAAAGTATAAAGAACAAAATGCAATTAAAAAAAAAAGAACATCAAGAACAAGAGAGCACTCTGAAATTTAAAATATGGTAGCAGAAATAAAATTTCTGAAAAAGGATTAGAAGCTTGAGGAAATGTTCCAAAAAGACAACACATAACCAGCAACAATAAACAATGAAAAATATAAGAAAATTACAAGATTAATTCAGGAAGTCCAACATCTGACAAAAAGGAATTCCAGAAAGAGAAAACAGAAAAAAAAAATAATAATAAGGCAAAGATTTTTCTCAGAACTGAAGGACTTGAAGTCTAGGTTGGAATAACAGACTAAGTATCCAACATAATGAGAGAAATAAGATCCATAACAAGTCACAATCCTGAAATTTCAGACGCCAGAGATAGAAAGAGGTGGCAGTGGGGGCAGGGGTTGAACAGGTCACAAACAACAGATAAAGACTTGAATGAAATTTGAGGGATAATGATTTCCTACTTAATCTATCTGATCTAGCCACTGAGTGTGAAAACAGGAAAATTGGCATTCCATACAAACAGGGTTTCAAAAAACCTCCGCAACAGAAAGAGGAACACCCAGGTTCCACAAAACACAAAGGATCCAGGGAAGGAAGCCCCGATAAGATGGAGGGTTACTCCGGGACTGCAGCTGCGCAGCGAGTCAAGAAAGAAATCAAGTTCAGAAACAGGAGGATAGAGGGCTCCAGGGAAAAAAACGAAAGGGAAATTCTCTTTACCCAATATTATTATCAACCCAAATAATCATCTTGAATTTTGAAAAAAAAAATTAGAAGAAAAACTTTCAAACTCTGCAGCAGTTCTTAAGACACCTGTGCAACAACCAAGGTAAGCCAGAACAGAGGATTCAGAGGGTAAATGCAGAAAGATTATGGCACTTAGCGCCAACCAGAGTAGTCAATATTTTGGCAGAGAACACTGTCAAAAGCTAGACTTCAGTATCTAGTACATAATGCTTTTGCTTTTTAATATGTGGATACACTCCAACCTGCCTTAGAAATCTCTCTTGCTTTTCTGTTCCTCTTAGCTTTCTCTACAAAATCCAGCCCCCGACTCCAGTATGCTTCTTCCAGAAGAACCTTCACCATGGCGTAGACAGAAGGATGCACTTTGCTTTGATGGTACCCGATGGGTGCCTTCCCTGTGTCCCTCTGCACATTAGCTTTCCATCTACTCTTAGATCCCAGCCGAAAACAGATTCCACTCCTGCCAACACCTCTTAATTTGTCTTGTTTTAATATTGTATATGAACCATTCTTGTATTAAAAAGGTATTATGCTCTTAAACAATTTTAGAACAGCTTTGAATTGGAAAACTTACATGCAACCTAATAAACTCTAAGTATGTCCTACATATTAGAAATCTTCCAAAAGCAACATTCTTTATTAGGTAACTGACAGTGTCACAGCAATTCATAATTCTTCACAACACATTTTGCGTAAATAGTCTAGGGCCTACTCTAGTACTGTTCACATGATGTAATCAATAGATGCAGAATAGAGTTCAAGTCAAAAAAAATTAACAAAGATGAGGATAAAAGATGACAGAGAACCCAATGCTGCAAAAAGAAAAAAAAAAGGCACTCAGGGTCCTATTATATTTTACTCACTCAAACATAATTTATTTTTGAAAGAGCACTTTGACAAATATTGTATTACATTATAACATATATAATTCATATTATATTATATTGTATTTTATAGTAATATTTAGAAGATGATAAAGAAATATTGTTAGAGAGTACTAAAGGAGAAGATCCTCCAACATCTGAGATCACAGACACTTGGTATGACATAAATACTGTTTAAGATGAATATTTTACTCTAACTTTTTTTACTTTTTTTGCTATTAAGAAATTGATAAACAAAACAGATAGTCTTCTGATGATGTTAAATATCATCTATCTAAACAATATATATTCTCAAGTATTTTCACTTGCAGAGGCAAACCAGTTTTCTCCTAACAAAATTTCAGTCTTCCAAGAATTACTGAAATTATTTCAAGGGATTTGAAAATCCATATTTTAAAGAGATAATCAGAAGATTAAATAGAGAACAGTAAGACTATTTAGAAAGCTGTAGAACAGGTCCTTAAGAAATTTTAAAATTCTTTATTCATAGTGAATTCAAGGAAAGTTAGTTTCATGCATTTTTTCTAAATGACTAACTTACACAGGAACCCACATCATTTACATGCTCTTAATTTACATTTCCTCACAATTTACCCTATTTTTCAGTTCCATTAAATTTCCTTTCTTAATTTCCTGTAATTTTTTCTTATGTCTCAGAGAACTCCTCCCTGGCACGGGTCCTCGGTGCTGGTATTCTTCTCCAAGAGCTCCTCCCCTCCCTGAGATGCCTCCTCCTCCTTGCCCTGGACCCCAGGATGCTGGCTGGCTTGCTGGCTGGATGCTGGCTGAGCTCAGCCCCTAGGAGGCACTACCTGTAGGAGATAGAATGGAGGGGATGGAGGGCAATCCGGGTCATTCTCTCCTACTACTCCCCGCTTTGGTGCTGTGTCTCTGGCAGAGCTGCATCCCTCCAGGACCATCAGGTCCTCATGCCACAGCTCCAGCTCTCTCCAGGCTCCTCCTTCCCCTCTCCAAGCCTTATTTGCTGCCCTAGGCCTGCCCTGCCCCATGACTCTCTAAGTGGTCTCTTGGTTAAGTTCTTATTTGAAACATTTGTTGTGAACTGTTTCCTGCCAAGACTCTGATATGTGCCCAACACCTAAAATGCAAAAAACAAACATAAGACAAAGACTTGGAAATATGATTGTGAATTAATTTCTCTAGCAACCAGTGTAAGATTTGTCATGGTACTTGTATCTCAGGAAATTTGTAAAAGAGGATGATGACACCTTCTCTAATGGGTTTTTGATGACTCCAGTGACACTGCATTGTAGATTGTGCAGATGGTAAAAAGGAGGATGTCAGAAGATAGTGGTAACTTACCACCCACCTGTTAAGCATAAAGGATACAGCGGAAGAGTACTACAGTTGAACCCAAAAGACCTGGTACAAATTCTTGTTCTACTACTTATTAGCTGTGTGACTCTGGGTGAGCCACATCAACTCTACAACCCACTATTTTCTTATCTATCAAGTGGGCTCGCTGCCCACTTCTGCATGCCTAATCACGAGACCCACTCACTCACGATAAAGACTGCACACTTCATGTGCTTACTGATACCCGTTTCCATTCAAGCCTATGGACCATGAATAAAGAAGCATTCACCCTTTGACATACCCTTCTTAAAGATCTGAACAGCACTAATGTACACTCCAGATATTTCATAACTAAAACTATACCAAACAAATCGAGAATACATTCAAGAACATGGAGCACAATTTCAAATATAGTCCATATGCTTAAGCCATAAAGGAAATCTCAATAAATTTTAAGGAATCAGTGTACTCCAACCATAATGTAATAAAATTAGAAATAAATGATGGAAGGATAGCTAAAAATAGAAAAATCTCATACTAAGATATTGACCTTCCTGTCATGTGTACCCAGACTTCTGAAGATTGCTGAAAAAAGTCTGAAAGCCCTGCAGAATGTACCCTCTCACCAGTCACTCCATATTGTCAATAATTCTGTTGCCCTGGTTACTTCATTCTGTCTCTGCACTGATGCTCTAGAATCTTCTCAGCTCCCTTCAAGCTAAACTACACTTCCTCCATTACTTCCTCCATTACTTTCAGCAGATGTCTCCTACTTCTTCATACAGAGAAGGCATTGGGTTAGAACACCTTCAACTTCCTATATGAAACTGCAATCCTACCCACATCTGCACCTATCCTTTCCCCACCCATGACAAATGAAGATGATTCCTTTTCCAGTGCAACTCTCTATCAATTTATGTGTCTCAGTACTCTCCACCCCCTACCACTCCTGCCAACCTTCTCAGGAACCCTAGTCTATCAAATTAAATTTTTCACTTATCTTGTGAGCCTTCCATCAACATCTTTATAAATGTCTTCCTGTGAATTTATTTTTACAGTCTTGAAATGTAATGTCTTACGAGCAAAACATAAACCCAAAAACCATAATGGAAAAGATACATTAAAAGCAGTGGAGGCAAACATTTCTGTTTGGGGAAAAAAACGTTAAGGTAAAAAGACAAACTGCAAAAATAAAACTGCAACATTTATTACAGATGAGGACTTACTTCCTTAATAAACAAAGAGCTTTTATAAATTGATAAGAAAAACAAATACAAAAAGATTAAACATATGAAAGAATACTTAATTTCATACACAATAAAAGAGGTGTGATTTA